CTTTCTGTATGAAAGTTATTTATTTATTTATAATGATATCTATCAGAGTTAATGTGCTTACGATAAGGAAGTTTATCCAGTTCTTTCTGTATAAAAGTTATTTATTTATAATGATATCTATCAGAGTTAATGTGCTTACGATAAGGAAGTTTATCCATTTCTTTCTGTATAAAAGTTATTTATTTATAATGATATCTATCAGAGTTAATGTGCTTACGATAAGGAAGTTTATCCAGTTTTTTCTGTATAAAACTTATTTATTTATAATGATATCTATCAGAGTTAATGTGCTTACGATAAGGAAGTTTATCTAGTTCTTTCTGTATGATGTCTAACTCTCGATCTGTCTTCCCATTCTGCTCTGCCACCATCTGAACTCCAGCTTTAGCCTGTTCTAGCTGAGGGTATAGTGCTGTCAAACATCCAAAATTATTTGTTTCAATATTACAAAAAATTCCATAGGAACATGAAAATACAATCCTTAGAGGTGCAATTACTGAAGTGTGTATTAATTAATATTAACTGTTGTCTATACAATGCTATCTTCTCTCTATAAATTTCCACTTTCTTAGGAATTGTTCTAAGAAATTACCTAACCCTAGTTTGTTCATCATATGACATAAAGTATATTATCTAGTTTCAATTCTGAATTATTTAAACTTACTTTGAGTAGAAGTTATTGACAATTTACAATGGTATCCAAACATTAAGGAACAAACAGTTTGTGAAATACTAATGATTCGTTCCTTATCTTTTTGACATTAGTATATCACTAATGTAATATGATTCACTATTCAAACTTACATCACTGTTTTAAGTAAATACGTAAAGTAACTGCATATTCTAACTAACTAGCTGATCAGTGCAAAAATATAATATTTAAATTATAACAATAAGAATATAATTAATCAATTGAAAACTATTTAATCTTAAGTACTGTTTTATCACAACTGCTCAGTACAGTTTTATCATACTGCTCAGTACAGTTTTATCACAACTGCTCAGTACAGTTTTATCATACTGCTCAGTACAGTTTTATTACAAATCTATTGTTGTAGGGTATAATTGCTGCTATTAACCAACTGGCAGCTGGGACGAACAAGACACTAGATGAAGCTAAAGAGTTGCTTGAAGCTGCAAAGAAAGCTTTAGAAGATGCAGAAACTGCTTTTAGTGTAAGTTTTTGAAATTTTCTTATTTATACTAACATCTACTTCTATGAACTTGATATTTAGTATGTTTAATAAAATATTGAACTGATTTTAATCTGTTTGGCTTTATATTTTGTACGTGTAATGAAATATTGAAATGACTTCAATTCATATAAGTGTAACTTGGACTTAACATTTAATACGTGTGGTCAGATATTGAACTGCTTTTAATCAGTAATAGAGTTATTCATTTTTAGTGTCAGTGTATATTAGGGGATACACATATTACATTAAGTTTCTATGTGAACATAATTATGGAAGAAATTTTAATTTACACCTCAGAAATTAGATTTGGACTCCTCAAGGCTAGCCAGAGCCATTGATGAGCTCAAGGAAAAACTGAACGGACAAGAAGAGGAACTTGATGAAGTACGCCCTCTTGTGGATGAAGCTAAGAAACATGCAAGTGACCTGATGGAACAAGCTGCTTTGTTAGATAGGTATGAGTTTAAGCCAAACAAACTGAAATATGTTGCCTAAAATAGTAAAAGATAAATAGTTCAGTGTCAACCAAATCAGGATATCATCCAAGTTACATTAAGGATTAGATAACATTCATAGTAGTTTTCATAATAGTTAATTGTAAAGCTCAAATGATTAGATTGAAGTAAAAAAGATAGGGTTAGGCTCAAGTATAACTTAGATTGAGAAATCATAATGTAAAATGATCATTCCATTTCAGATCAGTCTGGCTAATATCATTGTATAATTATGTAAACATTTTAATATTATGATCCAAAAATGATTGAGATTGAGCCAAAATTTTAGTTACAATCAGATTATTTAACTTTTAAGCTGGAAATCTGAGTAATTACTTAAAATAGGTACTTGTTAAGTTAAAACCTTACTGTCGTTCAGAATAGTTAATGGTTAAGATAAACCTTTAAAATCTATCAATCAGAGTAATCGATAGAACTTTGCCGACATTCAAGGTGATTAAAAGCTAGGACCATAAACAGATTACAAAATGGATAGTATGCCATTAAGACTAAGGATCTTTGGTTACAGACTGCAAATGTAACATGATATAGAATGTAAATGGAGTGTAAGTTAGGACTATAAACAGATTACAAAATGGATAGTGTGTCATTAAGACTAAGGATTAGCAGTTACAAACTGCAAACGTAACATTATATAGAATGTAAAGTGAATGTAAGTTAGGACTATAAACAGATTACAAAATGGATAGTATGTCATTAAGACTAAGGATCATCAGTTACAGACTGCAAATGCAACATGATAAAGAATGTAAGTTAGGACCATAAAAGGATTACAAAATGGATAGTATGTCATTAAGACTAAGGATCATCAGTTACAAACTGCAAATGTAACATGATATAGAATGTAAATGGAGTGTAAGTTAGAACTATAAACAGATTACAAAATGGATGGTATGTCATTAAGACTAAGGATCATCAGTTACAAACTGCAAATGTAACATGATATATAATGTAAAGTGAATGTAAGTTAGACTATAAACAGATTACAAAATGGATAGTATGTCATTAAGACTAAGGATCATCAGTTACAAACTGCAAATGTAACATGATATAGAATGTAAAGTGAATGTAAGTTAGGACTATAAACAGATTACAAAATGGATAGTATGTCATTAAGACTAAGGATCATCAGTTACAAACTGCAAATGTAACATGGTATATAATGTAAAGTGAATGTAAGTTAAGACCATAAAAGGATTACAAAATGGATAGTATGTCATTAAGACTAAAGATCATCAGCTACAGACTCCAAACATAACTTGATATAGAATTTAAACAGAAAACTAAAATACACTGATTACCAATGAACTTCTCTTGTCTCTGTTAGTCTGCTGGCAGATACACGTGATAGTGCCGATGGTGCCGTGAAAGCCGCTACAGCATACGGTAACATTGTAGATGCCATTGATGATGCTCTTAAAGCAGCACAGGCAGCTGTGGAAGCTGCCAATCAAGCAGCAGAATTGGTAAGTCAAGACTGCTAGAAATGTTGATTAATATAGTTTCCCACAACATAATTGTTAGCCATAGTGACTTGTCCTACTTATACTTAGAATAAGGCTTTGTATGTTGTTATTTTTTCTGATTTATGTTTGTTTGTATAAATTATACACTTATTAAAAGGTCGTACTCATTCCTTATATCGCAGGAGCATAGGCCTATTGAGCTGTGCAGAGGGAAGGGGTCATAAAAAAGATTGATACCCTATAACGCAAGGCTTTTATGAATATTATTTTGGCTGTGACCATTTTATATATAATTGGTATTTAGTATTGAGTACACTAATTTATAAAAAATATAATAAATAAATCACAATATTAAAATTGTTGTTACAAATTTGTAGATACTGATCTCAATTATACTCGCTTATAAAATAGTGAAAATGTTAAGGGTGTTTATTTGTCATAGATTCATATCTGTAAGTTTTATTTAATGCAAACTGCTTTTTATTGAGAATGCATATCATATAACAAATAAACTGTATATGTAAGAGTAACTGTGTGGAATGCATATAAAAGATTGTTGAAGTAAGAACCAATATAAACTTCTTGGTGTATGAAAAAAATAATTCATGAGGGTTACAGCTCGTAAGCATAGGCTATATTTCTGGCGGAACTCTAATCTCCAGCAGAGGAGTCCATTGGGACCACCAAACCCTTCCAGCCTACAACCTTGTATCAGCTTGATAAATGACTGAAAAGTAACCAATTTTCATAAATCTGTACAGTATCTTTAAACAAAAGTCTGATTTATAAGCTTGACCTCGTGAAAGATATTGTTTAAATGAAATACTTGGGCTTATTAAACTGAGAGAACCAATGCAAGTTTGTGAATATAGAATTATAAAATAGCAAAAATGATGTATCTGTAGTAGTTTTCTAATATGTCAGAACATAAATAGTTTATTAATATTTGCTGTAGTCTGATGGAATGGCAGGAAGAGCTGAAGGTTCTAAAAACAGAAGTATTGAGTTACTAGAGGAAGCTCAGAAACTCCAGAAGAAAGTTGAAGATGGTAAACTTTTTTTAAAAAAAACTAATTAATTGTTATAATCTATTTTATCACAACTGCTCAGTACAGTTTTATCACAACTGCTCAGTACAGTTTTATCACAACTGCTCAGAAAAGTTGCACAGTAAATATTAAACATGTAGGTGAGATTGAAAAGATGAATTAAAATAAATTTTTATCAGTAATTTACCCATGTTTTCATCTAAATTACAAGATTTGGCAATGTTTTGTTACAATTTAAGAACTGCTTTAATAATAATATCATGAAATACAAACAATGTTTACCTCTGACCAGGCAGCTGTGATTGTTCTTTGATTTTTATAAGACATGCAAGGAAAGCTAGAAGGTAGCTGCCATTACCAAATACATTGTAAAATTATGAAGTGGTGAATCAATTGATGAGTCACAACTGCTCAGCACAGTTTTATTACAACTGCTCAGTAGAGTTTTATCACAACTGCTCAGCACAGTTTTATTACAACTGCTAGTTACAGTTTTATCACAACTGCTCAGCACAGTTTTATTACAACTGCTCAGCACAGTTTTATCACAACTGCTCAGTAGAGTTTTATCACAACTGCTCAGTAGAGTTTTATCACAACTGCTCAGTACAGAGTAAATATTAAACATGTAGGTAAGATTGAAAGATGAGTTGAAAAGTTGCACTAAATATTAAACATGTAGGTGAGATTGAAAAGATGAGTTGAAAAGTTGCACAGTAAATATTAAACATGTAGGTAAGATTGAAAAGATGAGTTCTGTGCAACTTTTCAACTCATCTTTACAAT